TTGACGCCCATTCATTAATTAAAACTAAATGAATCTTTGATGCTTAATAGTCATGGCATCAAAAGAGTGTGTAAACTCTCACAAGAAGCAGAAATGTATTAATAAAATATATCTATCTAATGTGTACCGCTCAAGTGCCCATATGCACGAATGCACATGCAAAGGTACAATCAAATAGATTTTTTAACTAATAACTTTCTATTGCAATCATAAATTTATTAGTAACTTCTGAGGAGAGTGCACATAACCACGATCATGTTTTTCAAGTAACTATAGCTGCCATGAGGCAGTAATTTTTTATAGTGTTATAATTACGTTATTATGCTCAAATTTATACAACAAATATTTTTAATTAAATACAAAGTATTTTTTTTCTCTGCATGATCTCTATATGAATAAAATGTTGCATTCTTAAGACTTAAAAATACTAAATATGAAATATATATTTTCATTAATGAGGGTATACAAGTAAAACCACATCTTCGTTCTTACTTCTAAAAACCTTACATGATCCATATGAACTACTTCCTAGGTAAGATGTATCTTTTTTAAATAGAAATCAGAATTATTTATGTAACAACATTTTGCAATGATCACATAACAGTATAACACTTTTCAAGTGCGCGTGGAAGAACATGGGTCGAGTCTAGTCTACTTCTAGTCTTATCAATTCAAAATTTCAAATGTTGAACCTCAATTGAATTAGCTAGTCCGATGTTCTAGTTGAAAAATGCTAAAGGTACCCCAATTGGTACTCTAATTTGTACTCCCACCTTATTTTTGTGGCTCACAAAAACACCTCATTAAAGTGGGGCAATTCATATATTGAGGTGGGCTTTTGTGAGCCACAAAAATAGGTTGGGGTACCAATTGGGGTACCTATAGCAGGGTTGGTTCTGGTTATGTATATTTTCCGTAGGGGTGGGAAAAACCGAACCGAAACCCGGAAACCGACCCTGGCCCAGCCCGAATTATGATATCGGTCCGGGTTTTTTCTTTTTGACCGGCCCGAATAAAAAAACCCGGACCGAACCCGAAATTTCGGGTTATTTAACGGGCCCTAAAATCTATTACCCGGCCCGGACCGATAAAAACCCGAAAATAATTAACTTTAATATAAAATCAATATAATATACCAATGTAATTTATAAATTAATTCCTAATATATGATTATAATCATGGTGGACGAAACAAAATGACTTAATAACTATTAGTTACTACAAATATATTCAATTTATTTACCGTAATGACCATGAAAACGTATTTATAGTAACTTTAGTCACATTTTTATCCATAAATTTTATTTCGTGACATTTTTAGAAAACCTATATTATTTATTTTTATGCATCTTAAATGAAATATCATGATGATTGTCTTCTTTGGATTTGAATTCTTGGTGATTTTGGAGACTAATATTTGTGTTATTATTTGCGGTTTGTACTTTTGATTAATTTTATTTGAAAATAAATTTTAAAATATAAAAGAAAAATGAGATGATTTCACATTTTCACATTCGGGCTTTAACCGACCCAACCCGAACCCGGGCTACAAAAAAACCGACTCAGACCGAATATAATGGGCTTTTTTCCGTCCCTAATTTTCAAAACCCGAGACCTTACGGGTAATTTCCGGGTTTAACAAAAACCCGACCCGGACCGGACCGATCCCACCCCTAATTTTCGGATTCTAGATCAATTAATAGTTCATTTGGACAACTCTTTCTCCCTCCAACACAACTCAATTTTAATATATCTGGTTATGTATCTAAATTTTATGATATGGATGTTCCCAAACCAAAAATACCTCGTAATAGAATTTTCATAAAATCCGTGATGAATTGATATATATTTTTATAATGACTTCATGCTATTTTTTCGTGACAAACATCTTTAAGACTTTGGGAATTGACATGGTTTTCGCAGGACAAATGCCAAATCAATGGTAAAATTCATGTAAAAATCAGTTTTTGAGATATTTGGTGCAAATTCATGACAAAAGTTTGTGTCAATATGTGACTAATCGGTACCAATATCACTGTTTTGTATTGTTTCGTATTACGTTTTGCGATTCGGTATTATTTTCCTATAGTTTCTCATTTAAGCATGTAAATTTCAATTATTTGTACTGAGTTAATTATTATTAGAAAAAAGTTTAATTTCTCCCCAATTATGTATCATAAACTCAAATGGGGGATTCCAAGGGAATAGTGTAAAATACACATGAATCAATTCATTGAACTCAACAAGAGCACGACACTTACTTCCAGTGTCATACGATAGTATGATATTTGTCTTGTATTTTACAAATAATTAATCTGAAATAATTTCATTTGGAATTTCTATTCAGTTAATAGTCAAGATCAAAACAGTATTATCATTGGGCATGAGGTTTATTTATTTAGATAATAACACATTTTCTCATTGAATACAAAAATATTTCTTTTAGGAGTTTTTACCCCATATGATTGAAAACATTCATCTGAAAAGTAATATTATTCAATCGATTAGAAGCTCAAAATACTACGAGACCCCATTCAAATGGCTGACCATACAATTATGTGAGAGGATTGATCAGATTATGGCAGCAGATCAGACGGAGGTGGATCTATGACGGCAATGACGGCCGGCGGTAGCTCCCGTAGGGATATCCTTGTCCAAGCTTAGAAAATACGGAGTGCTTCTATTTTGAGGAATTATGTACTACTTCGTATACATCTGGAGTCAACCGTCCAGATATCGTAAATTACATGATACGACCCGAGGTAGCATGCACCCGGTACAACCGAATATTGTAACTTATAAGTAATGAGTATATAATTAAAATGAACATTAAATTATAAAATTATAATATTTGTAATATATATATGTAAATCATGATAGTTAATCACACATTTTTAATACTCAATTATACTACTAATTAGGGGTGTGCAAATAGGTTTATGGTTTGATTTTTTTCGGTTTCGGTTTCGATTTATTCGGGTTGGGAGAATTTGTACCAAGCTAAAACCATTTGTGTTTCGGTTTGGTTTCGGTATGGTTCGGTTTGAAGTTCGGTTTACCAAAGTGAACGGTATTAGATTTAATTTAGTCCGATTTGATTCGTTTTCTTATGTTTATTATAATATTATTTGATCATGTTCTTATATTTTAGAATTAGAAAATGAAAGTAGCAGTCTATCCCATCTTCTTTTATTGATTATTTAAATAAAATATAAAAGGAAATAAATTATAGAAAAGGAAATTATAAACTACTATAAATTAATATTTCTAATACGGAGTATCACATAAAATATTCAAAAAAAAACTAAAGGAGTCGGTGGTACATAGGGTTGTATACGAACCGAATCGAGTCGAATAGTAGGATTTTGTATTTGTATCTGTTTAATTTTTTCGAATACGAATTCGAATTCAAATATGAAACGAATATTAATTTCGATTTGTATTTGTATTTGTTTAACAATACGAATAGTTAACGAATCTTATACGAATATCGAATAGATTTGAGCATAGGTTAAATATTAGTCAAATATCACTTAAAATTAAATTTTCTTATATTTTTTATGTTGTAAATGTACGCTATGATTTAATATGTGTTTTTAGAATTTAAATTCAATGGATCAATGCATTTTTAGATTGTGCACGATATACTAAAGTGAATCAATTTTTTGATTAATAAATATAAATCTATTTCAAACTTTTTGAAATAAACACTAACATATACTACATCCATCCCGCTGGAAGGTTCCCATAGCAAAATGACACGATTATTTAGGTGATAATTAAATAAAGTACTTCGGGTATATTTCGAGAAACAATTTTAATAGGTATATATTATAATGTCTTACTATTGATAACGGTTATGTTATAAATGTATTATTTATAATATTTAATGACTAATTTGTAACTTAAGATTGTTAATTGTTTCCTAAAATGGAAATGAGAACCTTCTAATGAGACATCCAAAAAAGGAAAGTGGGAACCTTCTAACGGGACAGAGGGAGTACAAATTAGAAATTACACTTATAATGTGTGAAATAAGTTGATAATTGTATATATCAAAGTCAGACGACTCTAATTTTATTATGCGAATCGAATACATAATTACTTGTATTGTATTTGAAAGACATTTGAACCAAAACTCTGATTTGTATTCCTATTTATACTCTGATTTATTACAAATGGACTTAGAATTTGTATGGGTAAATGTATATATGAACTACACTTTAGGGTATTGCTATCTTTTAAAAGTTATTATAGTGTTATTACTATTATTCTTATTATTATTATTATTATAAATATTATCACTATTATTAATCGAATATATTTGATTAATATTCGAATCGAATACACTGATATTCTTATTTGTATTTGATAACAAATCGAATCAAATTTAATATTCATATTTGTATTTGTATTTGAATTTTCCGAATTCGAATCGTCTTATACGAATTCGAATCGCGAATCGAACACAAATTATTTGATTCGTTTACAACCCTAGTGGTACAAATGTGTCAATATTCACAATCTTATTCAAATGAATCATATAAAAAATATAAATGCAATCTGCTATTGTTATCGCGAAACTTAACAAATGCAAATATGACATACTACATATTAGTTAACTTCGTATTAATGAATGTATGAAATGTGTAAAAGTTAAAATGATATTCTGTATATGTTAAATATGTATTTTTCATGTCTAAATTATTTATTTGTATCTTAAAAATGAAGAGTGAAGATAAATACAAAGTGTGTGTGTTTGTGCGCGCACACACATGTGTGTGTATAAGTTGTTCGATGTTTGGTTCGATTTACGATTTTTCGTTTTTAAACCAAATCAAACCAACCCATTCGGTTTGAGCAAAACCTTACCAAACGATTTACTTAAGTAATCCCAAACAAAACCACCAATTTTCGGTTGGTTCGATTAAACCAAATCATTTTGTCCGTCCCTACTATTAATAAGGTGATATCGATAGTCATTTCTTTAAACCTAAAAATCATTTCGTAAAATAAAATGTCCGATCCTGGAATTAGGACCGTACAATCCGGTGGCTCTTTGTTCAGATAGTAGTGCCCACTGCCCAATATCCGTCTTTGCGCACAGTCTCTCAGGCCTTCCCGAAGTCCCGAACCCCTCTCTATTTGTCTGGGCGAGAGGAATGGCGATGGTACTCCTCAACTTCACTTCCACAATTTCCCGCCTAAACCCACTTCAAAGGTCTTCACTTTACCTCAAAATCCGACCTTTCAAGAAGCTGGCAGCGCCAAAGAGGCCTTATGGACCCGCTTGCTCTGTTCTTTGCTTTTCACTCAAACCTCTTTCAGCACACTTTTATTGTGTTCGTGCTTCTTCAGATTTCAACATTGCAATAGCTAAGAGGAAAAATCAATTAATCCCCGACGAAGGTTTGGTTTTTCTGGGAATTGAAACTAGCTGTGATGATACTGCTGCTGCTGTTGTAAGTTTATATGCGCACGCGTCTTTATGCTTTTGCAATGCTGATTAACTTGTGTATTGCCTTTTTTAAGTTGGTTAAAAAGTTTGCTTCTGTTGTTTGAATTATTGATTTCAGGTTAATAGCAATGGCGAAATATTAAGCCAAGTAATCTCTTCTCAGGTGTTATATTTTTTCTTGGCCTCTTTTTTATTTAAAAATATGCATATTGACTCATCTTTATCAACCTTTTTTGTTAGCACATCCACATAAGGATTCAAAACTATGCTTTGCGATGTATCTCTGGTTAGTAGTTGTGGGTATACTTGATCCATGAAAATGCGAAATGCAAGGGACAATGAAATAGTGAAATACTACGACATCCCATTCAAGTTTTCAGAGAATTTGTTTTTTCTAGTCTTTGTATAGATTAAAAGATTTAAATAAATAAAATGATTGTGGAATAAAATCTAAATTAACTTTATTTCTTCTTAGACTATCTATTATTTACCCTCAGGTTGTCTTTCCTTCCAATGTTCCTCAATTGCTTACATTGCTGTTATCTTTCCATAGATACAGGACAATAACATTTGCAAGTTTCCAATTTTCTACTCTATCATAATGCTAAATTACTTTTCTGTTAAAAATTTTGATGATTTCATCAAGGCAGAGCTGCTTGCTAAATATGGAGGAGTTGCTCCTAAAATGGCAGAACAAGCACATTCACAGGTTATTGATCAGGTATAGTATGTTTGTCTGTTACTTGATCACATATTCACATTACTTGGAGAGTATTAGAAAACCTTTTAATTGTAATCATTACGATTGTGGGAGAGTTTGGAATGATCCAAGTAACAATTTACCAGGGAGAGTACTTCCATCAGTCATAGTAATAACTGATGTTTTTATCAGAAACTTAAAGGTAGCATTTTTTTCGGGTGAAAGGCAACTTTAAAAAAAAAGACATGTTGTGCATTTATATTCCTTTTTTATATATGATTCTCTTACCCGGGATAAAACACATGTCCATTATTACTTCAACATTATAAAGCTACTTGAAATGCTTTTCTGCGGGACTAAACGATTTTTTGAAATTCAGGTAGTACAGGAAGCACTCTGTAAAGCTAAATTGACCGAGAAGGATCTTACTGCTGTTGCTGTAACAATAGGTCCTGGCTTAAGCCTGTGCTTGCGCGGTGATTAGTTCTCTGTTCTTATTTCCTTCTAACTTTTGCGCTTTTTTAGGGAAAGTATTTTCGTCCTGCATTTGAAAGAAACCAGTGAACAAAATTAGTAAATCCCTTTTACATTTTATTTTGTATTGCGTAAATTAAATTTAGCCTAGCTTAAGTCTGGCAAATAACCAATAAGTTAAATCCGCATGTAACTATATAAGTAAATATAGAAATGCATTTTTTTAATACTCCAAGGGAGTCTAGGGGGAGGGGGGCTGGAGGGGCCTGGAGTAATTTAGGGCTGAAACTCATTCCATTGAGTTTCTAACCCTTGTGTGTCTAGCGGGATTCGAACTCGAGACCTCCCACTAGGCACGGTAACCTCACAACCAGCTGGGCTGGAATGATTGGTTGGAATGTGTGAAGGGGAGCCTTGGCTCCCCAGTTATGGTGTTGCTGTGTGACCGAGAGGTCACAGATTCAAGTCTTGGGAGCAGCGTCTTGTGAAAATGACAAGGGAATACATGCTCTTTATCACCCTTGTAGTGGGACCTTTCCCCTGAACCTCGCCTTGCGGGGATGCCAATGTGCACTGGGCTGCCTTTTTTAAGATCGGAATGTGTCTCTTTAGAGTAGTGTTTACTTATTCATTGTTCTTTTATATGTAGTTGGTGTACGAAAGGCTAGGCAAATTGCTGGTGCTCACAATTTACCTATGGTTGGTGTTCATCACATGGAAGCTCATACTTTGGTAGCCAGGTAAAGTTTTAGTTGCTAGAACGATTTATTAGTTAAATAAATATCACCTAATATGCATGTATACAAATTCACTTCCTAAAAAATCACTTAAAGAATATTACAGTGATTCACTGTTTGGTTCCCATTCAATCACCTAATAAACTCTTTATTAGGCTAATATTATGAACCTCAAGTTTTATATTTTTGTATATATGTGTAAAACAAATCATCAGTTGCCTACTACCAGCCAGAAACTAATGCTTTAGTTTCATCCAGGTTAGCGGAAAGGGAGACAGAGTTCCCTTTTTTGGCTTTGCTTGTCTCAGGTAACACCTGTCTACTGAAAGCCATTGTTCTTTATAGTTGTGTTTCTTCTGGTATTTAAATTGAGTTTTTTTTGTGTGTGTAACTTTTTTGTGCTTATTTTCTGTGTTGATGAACTTAACTGCAATAGAGAAATAATTTTGACCATTAATATTCATAATTTCATATTACTTAAATAATAGTTTTAACTAACTTATAGTAGCCTTGAACTTTTACACTCCTTTTTCCCACTTAATTTTGTTACATTAACTCATTATAGACAACTAAATGACTGTTAATAAATGATGACTGTTTCTTAGGAGGTCACAACCTTTTGATTCTTGCACGTGGTCTCGGCGACTACATTCAACTTGGGACCACGATCGATGATGCAATAGGTGAGGCATACGACAAAATAGCCAAATGGCTTGGTCTTGACTTGAGGAAAAGTGGGGGCCCTGCTATAGAGAAACTAGCTCTTGAGGGTAATGCCGATTCTGTAAAATTTAATGTAAGTCACTGTGAGAGTAAAGTTTATGTCACACAATCTATCTTGTTTCATTGATGTTTAATTTGAAAATCTGTGTTTTTAAAAGGTTCCGATGAAACATTACAAAAACTGTAACTTCTCATATGCTGGTCTGAAGACACAAGTGAGGCTGGCGATTGAAGCCAGAAACATGTATGGTGTTCGTATGAGAAAAAAGCAATATTTTTTATTGATATAATGAAAGTATACTATCCACTTTTGTAAAAATGTGTTTTCCTGGTAGAACTTTTATGCCGATGTTAATTTGACTAATGAAAATAATTTCATTTATTTAAAATGTATTGTCTGTAGTGATGCTGGAATACCCATCTCAACAGCTTCTAGTGGGGATAGGCAAGCTCGGGCTGATATTGCCGCATCTTTTCAGGTATTAAGATCTTTAAAGCTTTGTTTGGAACACAGAAAACAGTTTTTTGGACTGTTTGGGTTTTCCTTGAAAACCGCCAGGGAAAATAGTTATTTTTTACTACTTGAGTAGTCTTTATAATTCAAATATAAACATACAATGAGTTTCAAAATTTGAACCAATATTTCCAAAATGTATTTTTTAGTTTGAACTTTCTCTTTTACCCCAAATTTGATTTTCTTCAGAATTTTCCCTGAATTTTTCGTTTCTTAGCATTTTACGGGATCCAAACAGATCTTCTTGACCTGTTAAGTTCTCATTCTTCTCCTTATCTACTTTGTTTCTTACACAGCGAGTGGCAGTGCTACATTTAGAGGATAAGTGCAAGCGTGCTATTGAGTGGGCCTTGAAGATTGAACCTTCCGTAAATTCTTTGGTGGGCTTTTTGTTTGTACTCTAAATCTATCTATCCCATCTTTGCTGCATATTAATGATAACTTTGACTTGTTCAGGTTGTGTCTGGGGGTGTGGCTTTTTGTTTGTACTCTAAATCTATCTATCCCATATTTGCTGCATATTAACGATACCTTTGACTTGTTCAGGTTGTTTCTGGGGGTGTGGCATCAAACCAGTATGTTAGGGATAGGCTTAATCAGGTTGTTGAGCAGAAAGAACTTAAACTTGTGTGTCCTCCTCCCTCGCTATGCACTGACAACGGTCAGTAATACCTCGTTGTTTGGTTTTCTATCCTTTGTTGTGGAAATGCCTAGTGTAGAGGAATATGATTGTTTCATGGCAAGTTAACCGAAACTCATAGATTCTTAGGTGTCACGTGACCTACTATTTTTAAATCAATAATAAAATGTAATAAATTTTGCTCAGCTCACCCAAAAGATCCTCAAAAGGTAAAATACACCTCAGATTTGTATATTAGACACATATCTGGTGAGAACCCAATGTCAATAAAGACCCAAAGTCGATGTTTAACATGCCCTTAGCTCAAACTGAGCTGGACAATACGAGAATAGATAAATGGGAGGAAAAGACCCCAAATGTCCATAGATTATTATTTTAAGGTACCAAATAAACAAACGAACCCCAGCTGGACTAGGTTTTCATGCCACATATTAAATTGGTGTAACCAGGAGTGATGGTTGCTTGGACTGGGATTGAGCATTTCCGGGTGGGAAGATTTGATCCCCCGCCTCCTGCTGATGAACCTGAAGATACTTTGGTTTGTCTTCTTCTTTCTTCCTTCTTCTTTGCTTTTCATCCTCTTTTTCCATGTTTGGTTTGAAAACCCCCGGATTCAGGGAATCAGGGATTAACAGAGCTTAATAAAATCAGTAAGTTGGGAGGCATTACATTCCGCCTCCCACACATGGTAGGTTCTGAGTTATTCCCAGGATATCATTTTCTGCTTTCTCAGTAATTCAATTCAAACCACCAAATAAATTCTTAACCATGTATCTCTCTCTGTGGAACACAGCTTGATTTGCGGCCAAGGTGGCCATTAGGAGAAGAGTATGCAGAGGGAAAAAGTGAAGCACGCTCTCAGAAGACCGCCAGGCTTCACCCTTCCCTTACTTCTCTCATCCAGCAGGCATCATCTTCTATCATATGAAGCAAGCAATAACTAGTTAACTACCTCAAGATGCATCCTGATTTACTTATTACTACTCTCCACCAAGAACATGTGCCATATCCTGACTGGGGATTTAAGAGATTGCTTGAAAGCATTTAATGCTCCTCAAACTGGAGAACCAGCAAGTTTGAACACCCCCTCACTAATTGAGAATCTTTCTAGGTAGCCACCATAGTTTATCTCTCTTATATAGTTGAGTATATATAAGGTCTTTAAATATTATACTTTATATTCTTCATTTGTAAAAAATAAAAATTGAGTTATGTTTGCATTACAGTACTACTCTAGTACATATAGTAGAAAGTAGAAACATCAAAAATGTTTTTTTGGGGGATTTGAATAAGCGTAAAAGTTGTGCCTTTTTGTGTGTTTTTCCCTTCCATCTTATAAACAAAACTCAGCTGGAGTTTTAAAATTATTCGTATTGCAAGATTCAAGAAATTTAAAACTCCCCGTTCAAAACATCAGAACAAAAATAGATAGAACATTGAATAGATAATATTACAAAAGATAATTATATAAATTAATTTATTGTTCTTTTTTATGTACTTTAATTCACACCATCGGTTTGTAGTATTTTGTATTTGACCCCAAAATACGGTTTAAAGTTGAAAGTGTGACAAATCATGAACTAAAAAGTTGAGGGAATTTGTAAATAAAAAATGACATCTTAGGTTACACCCAGGGGCGGAGCCGGGGCACTGGATCAGTATAAAGAATAGTTTTGAAAAATATTTAACACGAAATTTTTTACACTAAAAATACAAACATTTTTTAAATTTGGGTTGGGTAGGGGCCAAGGGTGACCCCTTAGCTACGCCCTGGGTAGTGGGCACACCCTATATAAGGGTTCCTAATTTTTTACACTCCCCTTCCTCTCCTTTGAACATCTCTCTTCTTTCTTCTTTCTCTCTCTCTTTCTTCCTCCATCTTCTTCTTTCTCTTTCCTTAACTTTTTTTTATCTTTTATTCATACTCCGTCTTCATTGTCATCTGCCATCATCTTCAATGGAAAAAATGTTGTTTGAAAATAATCAGGAATTCGCTGAAAAGACACCGTAAAACTAGAGTCATCAAATCTTTTGTGTGTGTGGTATATAAATATTGTATGTACTCTGTAATGAAATATGAAACTAAAAAATTAGTAACAAATTATAAAATTTCACCATAGACAAAAAATGTATGTATACAAACATTTTTTATGATTAAATTTTTACAAATAATTACAAGTTTTTAAGCTTTGTTTTTTCATAGAGATAGACAAATATACCACCTTGATTAATCCGATGAATTTCTGGTTATTTTCAAACAACAACTAGACGAATTTCCGATTATCTTCTCCTTTTTCAGTGAAGATTATGATGGAAGATGATGATGAAGATGGAGTATGAATAAAAGATAAAAAGAAAGAAAAAGAGAGAAGAAAAGAAAACGAAGACGACGATGATGAAGGAGAAAGAAAGAAAGAAAGAAAGAAAGAAAGAAAGAGAACGAAAGGAAAAAGAAAGAAGGAAGAGATGTTTGTATGATAGAAGAGGGAAGGGAAGAGAAAGTAAAAAAAATTATAAATATCATGTCACAACTCACTCTATTTTTCTTCTTCAAATTTTCAAGATTGAACTGGTACAATCATTTTAAGCTCAAACTCGAGTTTGTGGATTTGATGTCAACTTATTTTCACACCTAATTGGCTAATTTGATTTTTGAGATTGAAAGTCATATGTATGATATTTTTTACGGGGTTTAACATCATGTTTATCCTTTTCCAAAATACAAATAAGTTTATTGTATGTGTATCTTTAAACTGAGCATCTCAATTATTGTTATTGAAAATAACAGTAGAAGAATGAAATCAAGGAACATTATTTATCATCTCTTCTACTCGTAATATTAATGTGTCGTACTAAATTATACTCCATAAGACTATATGAATAAATATAACCCAAGGATGACAACTTGCTGAGGATGTCAACAGATGGATAGATGATGGTAATTACCTCGCCTGTAACCACGTGTTACTCAACGCGTAATTTTTATCCGATTCATAACCATTTCAACCGATAACCGCTATAATTGTAGGTAATCATTTTATGTAAATTAGCTATTGACGTTTTAGTATAACCACTTGTACATTCGCAAGGTGAGGGAAAATGTGTCTCATGAAGAAACAATATGATAATAATCAAACCGAACTCTTAAGCTCTATAATTGGGCACTACTCTCAAATGAGATACTACGTATATGTTTTCATTTATTGTGGTGATTGACATTTGTTAGGATGTAATTCAATATTTCCAAATACTATGTGAAATTCTAGAGAATTCTAGGATTATGTGGAGATGAGTAGAATTCTCTAGAATATTGTGGAATTATCTAGAGAAATATAGTATCCTCTATATGTGTGTAGAATGTTATAGAATCTTCTAGAATACTCTAGTCTCTAGAAATGTGTAGAAGCTAAGGTTGTAGAGTAGTCTAGAGTGTTCTAAATAAGTGTGGAGTCATCTAGATTCTTCAAGAAGATAATGGAAGCTTGTGAAGGCTTCTTGAAAGAATCTAGAATGTAGAGAGGTGGGTGGAAGATTTAGAGAGGGAATCCCTACCCCTTTGTGAGTAGTATAAATAGATGGTGTAGCCTTTCATTTGAGGCGTGAAAGAAATGCTTCTCATAAGTGAGGAAGAGTGAGTATTCCCAACTAGAAAGTGTGAAGTGAGATACCCGTTCATTTGTACACTCTCTTGTAAAATTCAATTATTTAATACAACCGTTTTTCTTAGTTCATGATCCTGGTGAAGGTCGGGGTGTTGTGTTTTCCCCAACAGTGGTATCAGAGGCAAGGTTCTCGGTGGTAGAGGAACGAGAGTATTTTCTCAGTAGAAAGATCCCGTGATAGTGTGATGGCATCAAACATGTCGAAGGTGTTTGAGCTCCCACACTTTGATGGGAAGACCAACTTTACATTGTGGCAGAATACGATTCAAGACCTATTAGTGCAGCAAGGTCTTGATCAAGCTTTAGATGAGGAGGAGCCTGCCTCCATGAGTGATAGAGAATGGAGCACGATGCAGAGAAAGGGTGTGAGTACAATCCGGTTGGCCTTGCTCCCGAGATTAAGTTTAGTGTGTTGAAGGAGACAACACCGAAGGCATTGTGGGACAAGCTCGAGGGAATCTATACATCAAAGTCACCGACTCATCGATTATGCTTGAAGATGGAGTTGTACTCGCTCAAAATGGAGGAATGAGGTAATCTTCATGATCACATAAACATGTTTAATCAACTAGTATGCCAACTAATGAATGCAGATGACAAGATCAAAGATGAGGAGCAGGCATTGTTATTATTAGCATCACTATCGAAGTCTTACAAACCATTGGTCCAAACTCTACTTGTACGAAGGACAACTATCACATTAGATGAGGTGACGACAACTTTGCGTGAGAGTGAGAGGATGCTAAAGAACGACAATGTAAACACAAGTGGAGATCGCGTACTAGTTGTGGGAGAACGAGAATGAGAGCGAGGAAGAAACCTCTCAAGAGAGAAAGGTAACCCTAGATGGAGATCAAAGTCTCGGCCGCGCCAAGATATAAGTGACATAGAGTGCTATTATTGTGGGAAAAAGGGTCACATTCAAGCGAGATGTCATGAATTGAGGGAGGACTTGAAAAGGTTTAGGGAGACGTCTCGAAGCAAGGATAATAATGACTCTCATACCAATGTGGTATGCGATGAAGATGATGGCAATGTTTACTTAGAAACAAGTGAAGAGGTTGCCAAATCTAAGTGGATGATGGATAGTGCTGCCTCAATGCACATATGTCGTGATCAAGCCATGTTTGGCACCTTGAACACTAATGGAGAGTTCGGTCACTTCAACTTAGCTAACGGCGAGAAGTTAAAGGTTGAAGGTTCTGGAAGCATAAAGATGGTGCTTCATAATGGTACAAGCCACACTCTCCACAATGTGAGGAACTTGTAAATTAAAGCTAATGTCATCTCGTTGGGTGCATTGACATTAGAGGGGTGTAAGTATTTTGGCACAAATAAGTGGTGCAAGGTGTTTAAGGGAAGACGCTTGCTCATGAGAGGACGGAAAAACGAGAAGAACGTTTGCTTCTTGGAAGGTAGTGTAGTGAAAAGAAGATGCACTGGAGGAGTCAAGGAAAAGAAAGTCAAGTTTTCGAAGATCGCTGAAATATTTGGAAATATGAATTAAGGGAGGAATTGTTAGGATGTAATTCAATATTTCCAAATACTTTGTGAAATTCTAGAGAATTCTAGGATTATGTGGAGATGAGTAGAATTCTCTAGAATATTGTGGAATTATCTAGAGAAATATAGTATTCTCTAGATGTGAGTAGAATATTATATAATCTTCTAGAATACTTTAGTCTCTAGAAATATGTAGAAGGTTGTAGAGTAGTCTAGAGTGTTCTAAATAAGTGTGGAGTCATCTAGATTCTTCAAGAAGATAATAGAAGCTTGTGAAGGTTTCTTGAAAGAATCTAGAATGTAGAGAGGTGGGTGTAAGATTCTAGAGAGGGAATCCCTACGCCTTTCATTTGAGGCGTGAAAGAAAGGCTTCTTATAGGTGTGGAAGAGTGAGTATTCCCTACTAGAAAGTGTGAAGTGAGATACTCGTTCATTTGTACACTCTCTTGTAAAATCCAATTATTTAATACACGAGTTTTTCTTAGCTCGTGATCCTGGTGAAGGTCGGGGTGTCGTGTTTTCCCCAACAACATTTATCTATACATGTTACAATATAAATGAACAAAATTTCATTTTTCTCGTGTGCAAAAAATAATAATCCGTATAAGAGAGTTAAATCAAAATATAATTAAAAATAAATGGATTAGATAACAAAGTATATATGTATAAAATCGTAACCGCCTTTTATTTATAAAATGAGTTACATAATTCCCCATCCCATATTTGTTACCTACAATTGTTGTCATACTTTGTATTTGAACATTTTTACTTAAATTTATTTTAGTCCCAGACGTAATCAGATCAGAGTAGACACGAATGTACTTGGTAACTTTTAGTTCAATTAAAAACATCTCGTGGTAGGGAACTGACCCCACTATAAAACATTTCGTGGTTTTTATTAGAGTAAAAAATCACTGTGTATATGTAAAAAAAATCTGAAAACTTTCTTCATATTGGTCCCTGTCTGGCCAGGCTCCGCCCCGAGAACTGATATGCGAATTTGAATTTGGGATTATCGGAAAGAAGAGGGAAACACCCGGCGCGAAATTGGGAGTGCAGTGAACTGGGAAGGTTTTAATTTAACTGAGAGGGTTCTTCTTCAAGGCGGAAATGGAGATATCGAGCCTACCCATATCTGCGTCGCTGAGGGGAAAGCTGAT